CGGGGGCGCGCGCGGCTGGTGGCTCCTCGGCGCCGAGAACTGGGACGCGGCGCGGGGAGGAGCGAGGCAACCCAGGGCGCGCGGGTGGCGGGACGCTAACCCTTTGGGCCCGACGAGCGGGAAGCTGGGGCAGTGAGGTGCCGCGGGGGGAGGAGAGGCGGGCTGCGGTCCTCAGAGCGCGCGAGACGTGGCGGGCGGGCGGTGTCGGCCATGCCGTGCTGTGGGGGAGGGCGGTGCGGGGCCTGGCCTGATCCCTCGGGCCCCGCCCCGCGTCTGGGCGGCCCCGCAGTGTCCCAGCCTCGGTGTTCCAGTGTCTGCAGGGGAGAACGTGGTTACATCAGTAACAGCCGCTGTGTGTCATGGCTCTGACCAACGTTACCCACTGAATTTCCAAGTAGGCCTTCCAAAGTAGGTACTTAGGACCGTTTTAGAGCTGAGGCTCGGGTAAAATGACTTGCCCAAGATCATACAGCTGATAAGAACGAATTAAGGATTTGAACCTTGCCGCAAAACTCCAAAACCTGTACCTCTTTGCACCACGCGGAATCCTGTCCCTTGCATTGCAGGACCTTCCTTCCTCCACCCACTAATTTGAATTTGGCGAATGTTGTTTTGAACCTAGCGCCCATCCTGTCATGAAAGTTAGTGTCAGCAGGTGGTCTCTTGAGAGAAGAAAGGAGGAAGGAAAGAAAGAAGATTCTGTTTATTGCAATATCGTGCTTTGTAATGTGGAGTGTTTATCAGACTGTATTCTACACATCCTTTACTTGACCATCCGTATTAATCTCGGTTGAAATGCTCTTCACTACCTGTAAGATATTGTGCAAGTAACATAATCTTTCAGAATTTCCTTTCCTTTGAAAAAGCAACATGCCTTACTTAGAAGGTGGTGAGGATTCAGAGAGAGAAGGATTCAGAGAGATAATCCATGTACAGTGGTACCAACCAGTACCAGGCATGTGGGAAAAGTTTGATAAGTGTTGACCATTAATTTATTATTGGGTGCATAATATGCTCTTGCTAAACTAATTTTTCTCCAAAAACCGACTTTTCCTGGGACTATTGCAGAGGAAGACCTAACTTGCCCCCCAAAAGAAAAGTTCATTGACAGCCATGTTATTTAAGTGTTGCCTACACTTAATGATGAATTATTCCCTGAGCTAAATATGTCAGGGTGAAAGAAGTTACTCCAGGAGAACTAAAGATGAATTAACCTTTTGTAGAACTGACATTTGTTTGTTCATTACATATGTTTATTGAATTCCTTCTGCATGCTTGGCAAAGTGCTTGGTACTTTAAGGCTTGCTAATTTGTATTGGATGTAGTCCTTGCTTTCATTTAATTTTGTATAGAAGGGGGAAAATATATATATTCAGAAGCTATCCACACAAAATAGAATGTGAAAAATGCCAGATAAGAGATAAAAAGCTGTAGGTATATAGAAGAAAGAGGGATGTTTCTTGGCTTAGTGTGAAATACAATTTCATTTCTGCCTTTGAAGAAGATACTTTGTACATCATATGTTCCTGATACATATTTGTTGAAAGAGTAAATTAATGAACACACGTATGTTGTGATAGGGAGGATTCCTTAGTTTCCAGTAACAGAAACTCATTCAAATTAAAATTTTATTGGCCAGGGCCGTCCCGGTGGCGCACTGCTACAGTGCGCCGCTTGGGAGCGCGGCGGCGCTCCCACCGAGGGTTCGGATCCCACATACAGACCGGTTCCCGCTCACTGGCTGAGCGAGGTGCGGGTGCAGCACCGAGGGTTGCGATCCCATTGCGGGTCCCGGTCCGGTACGGGCGCGACACTGAGGGATGCGATCCGTTGCTGGACACGAAAAAAAAAGACAAAAAGGAAAAAAAAAAAAAGTTTTATTGGCCAGATAGAGAAGTGAGAGAAGAACTGAACAATTGGATCACCTTGGGGATAGGGAACTCAACAGTCAGAGCTCATGGACCAAATTCTTTGGCTAGAGAGTGACTGAGCTCCAGTAAATTAATGAACAGATGTTTGTTGTAAAAGAGAGGATTCCTTAGTTTCCAGGAACAGAAACTCATTTAGATTAAAGTTTTATTGACAGATAGAGAAGTGAGGGAAGAACTAAACAATTGGGCCACTCTAGGGATAGGGATCTTAATAGCTAGGGCTTATGGACCAAATTCTTTGATTAGTGACTGACTGAGCTCCAACTGCTCCAACTGCCTTCTGTTTTTGTGTGTCTTCTGAAGATCCAGATTTTTGTGGGGGTTGGGAGGGTAGGCAGCTGGCCAGTACAGGAATACAACTCTGGACCCAGATTTCTTTAAGAGCTCTGATTGCCATAGTTTCTGTGGGAGTGGAGGATGGAGTGTTGTAATTGGCAAGCCCACCAATACCATATGAAATGTGGGAGGGTCAGTTTCCCAAACGAAAGGGGGCTAAGGAGAGAAGTGAGGCTGGGCAGAGAAAACCAACAGTTATTTGTTAGAGATATGCAGCATTTATAAAGGGCTTACTATGGGCCGGGCACCATGCTACATTATTTATATGGATTGTGGTATTTAATTATGACATTTAATTCGCACAACAACACTGGGTGGTAGATACTATTATATCGTAGTTATTTTATAGAGGAGGAAACAGGCTTGTGGGTAAAATAATTTGCTCAGCATTACAAAGCTACGATGTGATATTGTTGAGTATGTTGTTTTTCTTCTTTATATTTTATCCCTTTGAATTATTTTCTGATTCATGTGCTACTTTTGTTTGTTCATAGGAGGTCATCAGCTTTGGTGTATGTGTTGGCCAGTTCTGAAATCTTGAAGAAACTGCACCAAGGAAAATCAAAGTAGCAGTCTTTGCCAATTAGGGAATGGACCGTTTGGGTTCCTTTAGCAGTAAGTACAGTAGGAACAAGTCTCAGGTGAATGTTAATAGCAAACTGGAATGGAAGTTGATCAAGGAAGAAAAATAAACATTCCGAAGTTAAGCAATAAAGCCCTGTGAATCTGATCCTAAAGGAATTATAAGAGTATCAAATCAAAATAAAATCAAGCAATTCTTATTAATTGCGCACTGAATACATGACACAAACATCACCCTGGGTCTTAGAAGAAAACAAAGTTGAGATGGCCCATGCACAGTATGATTAACCTGTAGTAAGACTTAAAAAAGCAATGGGATTTCTCTTTAGAACCAGTAGGATGTTTTAGGTGCATTGATAAGAAATAATGTCTGTTATATGATAAAGGAAATATCCTGCCTTCCCTCACTGCCCCCTAAGTGGAACTTATGTTCTAAGAGTAAACTACACTGTAATAATAATACAGAGAATTATGTGAAATAAATTCAAGTAGCCACAACTATGGAGAAAAAAATTATACTTCTCTCTTTCTGTTTCTGAGGATAGGAGATTTGGCAGAAATAGAAATCCTATTTGGAATTTCTCATTGATGGTATTAATTTTGAAAACCCAGCCAAGTTGTTGTTTGAGTTTTCCATTGTATAATTTTTACTTTTCCCTTGCATGTAATAAGCAACCCATGGGAAGAGACTTTGAGGCCACAAAAATATGCTGCTCTTCATTAAAATTTCTCCCTAGATTTAGCATCTGTTGATGATTTTTGCCTGATCCAGTCTTTGTTATGATGATTGCAGAATATTGATTTTTCCTAAATCCGTCTCTGTTTAGTAGTGTCCTAATGAGGAGAATCGAAAAGGTACTTTTTGGATGTTGTTTCCTCTTCCCTCTTCAGTAATTTCTTAAAGGAGCTCTGACTTACTTTTTTACTACACTCCTTATATAAATTTAGGAAGGAATGGAGTCTTCTTTTTTTTTTTTAAAAGATGACCGATAAGGGGATCTTACCCTTGACTTGGCATTGTCAGCACCATGCTCACCCAGTGAGCTAACCGGCCATCCCTATATGGGATCCAAACCTGTGACCTTGATGTTGTCAGCACCACGCTCTCCCGAGTGAGCCATGGGCTGGCCCAGGAATGGAGTCTTCAAACACATCTAGTTCAGCCCTTTCATTTTACACATGGAGAAGGAATCTACTTGAATTGCTCCAGTGTTGGGAGTGTAAACTGAAACCAGTCTCCAGTGCCCCCCACCCTTCTGTAAATAATTGTTAAACTTCTTATTTGGAAATAATTTCAAACTTACAGAAAGTTGCAAGAAGAAGAATACCAAGGATACTCGTGTATCTTTTGCTAACCTTTTACTTCGTTTGCTTTGTCATTTGTGCTCGTAGGCTTTCTTTATTAATGTATGTATTTACAGATAGACACAAACATACACCATATTTTTTCTTGAATGATTTAAAGTAAGTGACATATATCATGGCCCTTTACCCCTAAGTATTTTAGTGTTTGTTTATGTTTTTAATTTTTTTCTTTATTTTTATAGCAGTTTTAGTTTTAGAGAAATTGAGCAGAAAGCACAGATAGTTCCCATACCCTACCCCACCCCCATACACAGTTTCTCCTATTATTGACTTGTTACATTAGTGTGGTATATTTGTCACAATTATGAATCAGTATTGATATTAACTTAATTTTATAACTATAACTATCATTATTGAGACTTAATTCTAGGTTGTCTTTTTTTTTTTTTTTTTTTTTTTTTTTTTTG